GGTGATCTAGGGTGTTTTCTCTTCCATCTGCCCCTCTTCCCCTTCGTGGATGGGTTTATCACTGTTCCCTATTGATAACACCCCCTCCCCCACCCGGCCGGCAGCCAACCCAGAACCATGCGCACACCATGAGGGCCCCCCCCAACCATCCCTGTCAAAACGCACTCTGCCTCCAAATTCGGGGCATGCGCAACCAACCCGATGCGGGCCCCCCCCCACCATCCGTCAAAGACAATACACAGTACACTTTGGGGCAAAGTCTGGAGTCATGTTCGTGAAACCCGCGGGCACTTTGTACTGTTATTCGACAGAGACGGCGGGGATGTCAGCATATTGCCTGCTGCGCGCACCCTGACAAACACACTACCTCGCGGCTAAATGTGGATAGTGCGCGGCCACCCCGCGATTATTGACAAGTGGTTTTTGTGAGGGACGGCGGGGGTGGTGGCGTATGGACTGCTGTGCGCAGGCCCACCAGACACAATGATGGGCATTGGTTTTCGACAAGGATGGTGGGGGCCGACATGTTTCCCGATGTGTGCTGTCACGTGCGCAGGCGCACCTGACACACTCTGCACGTGCCCCGGACGTGGCGCACCTGACGCGGCTGGAGGGAGCATCTGGCGCACTAGGCGTGCCTGGCACGCTCGAGCCCCCGTGGTGCCTGGCGCGCGTGGCACGCCTGGCACGCGTGGCGCACCTCGCCCCAGCGTCGCGAACATGGGCTCGGTTCTGATTCCCAATAACTGTCCATCAAAAGACGACCGCGGAACATGCTGAGGCTCGGGTGTTACTTATGTGTTGGGAGGGCGGGTGGGAGTGAGCGAGACGGCTTGCTATCTGGAAGGTGTCTTGACCCCTCCCCCTACCTACCCACTTCCGTGGACCTCGACGGGGCCGGTCGCGAGGTGTCAGGGCGTCCAAAACGGCCTCGGCGAGGAAGCCAAAATCATTGTTTTTACTAAGGTTTTGGCCCCATTTGGGCCTCTTGGGGTGGCACCGCTAATCAAAGCTCCCATCTTGTTTGATCGATGACCTCCAAGATGGCCCCAAGAGCGCTCCGAAGGCTCCCAAGAGCTCTTCAAGAGGGCCCCAAGAGGCGCCCAGGAGGCTCCAGGAGGCCCCGAGAGGCGCCCAATAGGCCTCCAAGAGGCTCCCAAGATGCCTCCAAGAGGCCCCAAGAAGCTCCCCGACGCACCCAAGGCGCTCCAAGAGGCCTCCGGGACCGCCAAGAGGCCCCCAAGACGCTCCAAGAGGCCTCCACAGGAGGACCCTTCCTCTGCGTGCTGCCCACTTCCCTGATCAAGGCAACTCCTCCGGGCATCGTTTCTGGATGGGCTGATGAGGTGACGCGAAGCGTCTAGAACTTGAAGGATGTCTGCACCCAGATGGACCTCCACTGGGGGCATCCAATTCCCCAGCGTCATTTGCACCCGCAGGGGTTGGGTTCGCGAGTGGTCGCGGAAGGGGTCCTCCTCCCCCTCCTCCTCGCCCTCCTCCTCCTCCTCCTCCGCCTCCTCCTCATTATCAACATCAACAACAACAACAACAACAACAACAACAACAACAACAACAACAACAACCACAACCACAACAACAACAACAACAACAACAACAAGAACAACAACAACAACAACAACAACAACAACAACAACAACAGCATCATCATCATCAGCAGCAGCAGCATCAGCATCAGCGTCCTCATCATAATCACCATGGCCATCATCATCATCATCAGCAGCAGCATCCTCCTCCTCCTCCTCCTCCTACTCCTCCTCCTCATCATCATCATCATCATCATCATCCTCATCCTCATCCTCCTCATCCTCATCATCATCATCATCATCATCATCATCAGCATCAGCTTCAGCATCATCAGCAGCATCATCATCAGCCACGAAGCGCTGTCTGGGTATGGCGGACGCATTCCCACCTGACCGAACGTAACACGACGGCACGTGCGCGCGCACCCGCTTCCGACGACTTGGCGAAAGAAAACCATGCGTCGCGCCCAGTCGGGAACACACCGCTTGGTTGGGAAACCATGGCTTCATTCTGCTCACTGGAATGTGGCCGCGATTCCATCTAGAAGATTGGCGGTTAAAACATATACGCAGCGCGCAAGCGGAAACCCAATGTTCAGGCAAACCCTGCGCAGCGTCGACATCCATCTGAAACTGGGATAGGGATAGGGATCTTCCCTTTAGCCCTTGATCCTGGGGACCTCTGGAGCAGTCCTCCAGGGGGCAGGGACCCTCCTAGACCCCAGTGGCCCTTGCAACCCCAACAACACAACAAAAACAAACTGGGCCGTTAAAAGCATGATTATTCTGCTCCGAGCGATCCCGACGGTGCTCGCGCCCATTGGAACGATGTGCGCGTGGCCCAGTGGTGTCGGCCAGTGCGGCGGTCTGACCAGGTCGCAAGTTGCCGTTCTCCTGAAATTTAACAGCCCCACAGCCCCTGACGAAAGAAACCGAAACAAGTCCTGGGGCGAAAAACTTACCTCCAAAACGCGTGGTGTCAAACAATCAGTAAGAGGAAGAGCAGCAGTAACAGTAGTAGTACGAGTGGAAGTAACAGGAGAAGTAAGGGCGATCTGGCGTAACGCCATGACACCTGTCGCGTGTGATACGTCGTCCAGATCGGCCGTTGCCCCGCCTGTTTGGTCCAGTGACCAGCCTGACCTCGGCGCGCACGTCGCGGTTGAAAAATACCACAGTACGGTGTATCATGTCAGGACGTTCATCTTCACTCTGGTTTTTGTTCTTCTAGAATATGCGATTATGGTCTGCGGCACCATGTACTAACATAATATGTTACTGCAGTTTGTGTTATGTTATCTGTTAAATCCATTGTGTTATGTTATGGTATCCTCTGTAATATGGTACATTCTACCATGTTTGAAGGTACAGTCGTTGCCGTCCTGCTACCAATAATGAAACAGATCGTCAACGCTCTGCTATGATCGGTGATGATACACCCCACTATGCTCCGCCATGTCATGGTACGCAATATGTTTGCATGTTGTGCTCGATGTTACGTTCTGTCATGCTTTGCTATGTCAGGACATGGAGTTTGCTTATATCGTATGTCCTGCTATGTATTAATATATGTTATACCAAGATCCGTCATGCAATGTTCTGTTATGCATGAAACATTGTGGTTCCGTGTTATACTATAGCACGTTCTGCAATTGTGTGAAATAGTACGATGTGTTATCTTACGCGAAGATGTGGCGTGATCTGTTCGTGTTTGTTCTGATGCGTGGGTTCGTGATAATATATATATATATGTGTGTGTGTGTTGTCAATGATGTCATTGCATGCGCTGGTATGATGCGTCATTGTTTAATTTTCTGCTCTGACAAGCTATGACACGGTATGCGTCGTTATGTTACAGTGTCATGACATAGTATCTTGCGGCATGCGATAGTGTGCTATGCCTCGCTCTGCCATCGCATGATTTGTAAGTGTTTGTAATGATATGTGGTTTGATGCTGTGCCACGGTGTGATACTGCATGCCATGGTATATTATGGTATGAATTGTTATGCCATTGCTTGATATGGTAAGCTCTGTCATGCTATGCTAAGAGGTGTGTTGTATTATGGTATGTGTGATCCGTTATGGTATAACGTATAGGATTAAGTTGTGGTATGTTCTGCTATGGTGTGATATCTTATACCGTGCTCGGCCATGCAGTGATTTGTCATGTGTGCAGTGATGCTGTGTTATGTCGTGGCGTGCTGTGTCATGATATGTTATGGTATGCTATGCACTGCCATGTTATGTTATGATATGATCTCTCATGGCATTGTATGGATGGCCTGGTATGTCATGGCATGAGCTGCTATGCTGTGATGTGTTGAAACATGGTATATCATGTTGTGTGAGGCTGTCACATATTATGGTGTGGTATGTTCGGTTATGATGTGTTAGTATGCTTACTTTGTCGTGTTAGGGAAGGTTATGTGTTGTGATGCTGTGCTGTGGTATGCGCTGCTCTGTCATGGTGTGTGATGTTAAAATATGCTATGTCATGATATGGTATGTTAGGTGGTGTGATGGTATGCTCTGCTCTGTCGTAACTTATAGTGGTGTTCTGTACTATGTTCTGCTGATTTATAATACCGCTCTGTTTGTCGGCGCGAGGCGGGAAACTCGGGCACACTCGGGGGACCTAGGGATCTGGCGGCCGCGGGTTGCAGAGTGGCGCGAGGCGGGACTCTTGGGGACACTCGGGGACCTAGGAATCTGGCGGTCGCGGTATGCAGAATGTCGCGAGCGGGACTCTCGGGGACACTCGGGGGACCTGGGGATCTGGCGGCCGCGGTATGCAGGGCGGACGGGTCGGGAGGTCAGTTCTTACAAAATCTAGCGACTCCATCATGTCGAGAAAGAAGAACATCTTCACTGTCAGTCTACAGAATGCAGGAAGACTCGCTCCGCTGACTTGCATGTGCGCGCCGGCACAGCGAGATATCCTGCTGGGATCCAAGCAGACCTGTAGTCACCGTTCACAGTCCTATGAGGACTGCGGGCCTCTCGCATTGGATGCTACTACAACTGCCTACAGATGTGCTGGGACTACAGCTGCCAACAGGGGTAAAGCCACCCTGCTATACTTACTGCTACGCGGCTTTCATACAGCACAGGTACCGAAACCCGACTCGAGGCTGCGGCGTGCGCTGGACGGCTGCCGCCTCAATGGCCCAAAATCCATGCATGCCGCGTGCCTTCTCGTACGGCAAGTTCGTGTCGTGGCGACTTGCGCCCTGATTTCTGACACCATCTGGGTCGTTCGCGGTCGCGGCTTTGTGATAGCACAGGCCGTTCGACATCGGCCGATTGCATTCTGAACCCCCGCGCTGGGGTCGTCGCCGCGTCGACACGACACGAACCTACCGTACCCGACCACGTCGACGACGAAAACATGCGCGAACAGAGGTTCGGCAGGACACGGCGTTGGCCAGTGACGTCGGCGCGGCCCCCCCCTGGCCAGATTGCAGTCCGCGATGCCGCACCAGAAGAGGTCCACGCCTGCCCCCCGTCGACGATCAAGGGTCATTGCCCTTTTATGTTCGAAGATCGGAGACAATCGAGAAGGATCGGTGATACGTGGCCACTGTCCCTTGATGTGCGAACGAACGGGCCATACGAACGAACGGACGAACGAACGGGCCATACGCCCCCTGGTGCGTGGGCAAAAGCGTGCGTCTAACTGTGCTCGTTGCGGGATCGATGAAAAACCGCGGACATCAACATGATGAATGACAAGAGGTATGGGAGGAGAGGGGAGAGGAAGAGACCAAGCGACCGCCATGCACAGTGCTTTGTGCGTGCACAGTGCTGCGTGATAGTGATGTCTTTACCCTGGAGGCTGCCAAATCCACAGATGTCACCCTCGTTTCTCCTTGCTCCTCACTGCTCGCTCCCACTTATCCATCGCATACCCATCCGTCTTCCTCACTCCCCCATGCAGGCACTGAAAGGGTGAATCACACCGCGCACAGCAAGACCCGTGGGCACGAGCCCAGAGGAAGTTAGTGTTGCATCATGAATTCACCCAGGAGTGTGCCACATAGAGCATGGGCGAAATTAATACGACACTGGATGCCAAGTAATTTTCCCTTGACGAGGGCCCACTTCTCTTTACAAGCATTAGGCCCACGCTTCGACACCAGCCGATGTGCTTTCTGAATCCTGGATTTCCTGCGGCAGGAACAAACACGACAGGGAACCCTGACACCACAATCCAGGCAACGTGGAGGGCATGCCTGAAGTGGCCAGGCTGCCTAAAGGCGCGGAACAGAGAGGGGTTCAGGGTTGGGCACTAAGCAGGACCTGGGTCATGTCCCCGGGGTGCGTTCTGGCCACACTCTCGAGGCGCACCGGGCCGTGGCGACGAGGGGCCACCCGGGGCAAAAAAGGAGTGCGGGAGGCGGCAAGAAAGCCTGTCATCGAAGCTCGACCCTCGAACTGCGACCCGATCCTCGTGGATGCTCGTTCTGGGGACCTTCCTGGAGCCACTCGCTCCACTCGTGCGTCCATGCTGAGTCGAAAGTCCGTCGACTACGAGTCGAACTTGAGCCAAACTGGAGTCGAAGTAGAGTCGACCTAGAGTCAAACCAGAGTCACACTAGAAGCGAACATACCCAGTAGGGCGCTAGGGGGGGCCAGGAAGGCGCCAAAAACAAGCATCCAACTCGACCAGTCGCAACGCAGCGACGGACGCAATGGACTGGCGAACACTCAGTCGCAACGCAGCGACGGACGCAGTGGACGGGCGAGCAAAGACCGGAGCACGCCTCATTCCTTCGGCTACGGGCAAGAGTGACCCCTGGTCAAGTGTGACCTGCGGCGCGCGGCTTCAGGAGAGGTGCGGGGGAGCCAAACCCAGGCGCGCAAGCTGCTGCTATCGCATCGCGTGCAGTGCTCGGGGAGCCCCGATGGGCCCGCATCAAAGCTCACTCCAGTGAAGGGTCGCTCTCACAGTCAACCCGCATGATAAGGATGAACGACTTTCCCAAGGTTACCCTTGCATCCTTCCCCTTCGGCCCATCCTTGGCCTCTTTCGCTGGCCGCGCCCCGCCCGCAAAAAGTCGACACGGCCTTCCATGGCCCTTGCATCCTCATCGTGCGTCCTCACTGTACGGGTTGACTGCACATGGCGTCCGATTCCCTCCCCCCCCGAGGCCCCCGGGCGCCGCGGCCTGCGTCGCACACCTCTCCCGAGGCCGCCGTGCTGCGCCGCGCCTCGTCAGGAGCGGCGGGCTCACGAGCCGGAGGAGAGCGAACTGGAGGAGAGCGAGGGGCGACGATGGGGGGGACCGGCTCGGGGGGGGGGCATCGAGCTGGGGTCGGGGGCGCCCAAGAAGCCAGAAGGGCGCCCAAGAGGGGGGCGGGGCTCAAGTCGTGGCCCGAGGCAAGTGCGCGGCCCAGGGGGGCCAGGGGGCGCTCCTGGACAAGAAGAGGCACTGTGAAATCTGGGGAGACATCATGGCCTTGGCCACGATATCCCCCACCCTCCCTGGTCATCACCCCACCGTGGCCGCCCCCCAAGTGGAATCGGCGATGCATCGCCGACAGATCGGTGGGGGGCCTCCGGAAGCAACGTCACACGGTCTTGGGCGGGGGTGGGCTCTCAGGCCCCTATTGGAGAGCACTGCAGGAGTGGGGGTCGATGGATCACAGCCGATCCCCCCCCTGCCTTTGCCCCTGAAGAGAAGGCTCGGGTCGCCCACGACGCCGCGGAAGGAGGCCCGCGTCGTGGGCCAGCATCGGCGGTAACTTCCGTGAAATATCGTGAATGTTTCGCCCTTTGAAAGCCTCCGCGGGGCCCCTCGTCGCCACAGAAATGATTCGCCCTTTGAAAGCTTCCGCGGGGCCGCTCGTCGCCACAGAAAAGTCCCCCTTGACCCTCGACATTAGGCCAGAACGCACCCCAGGACTGGCAGTTCGCCAACCCCCGCACCGCACCAGCAGAAGCAACTATAACCATCCAGATGAGAATGCTAAAACATCGGCCTAGTGAAAATCAAGCGGCCTGTCAAGAAAGGAAGGATGAGGAGGAAGGAGGGGGAAGAGGAGCAGAAGGGAGGAAATGAATGGAGGGTGAAAAACGGGAGGGGGAGGAAAAGGAGGAGGAGGAGGAGGAGGATCACGAGAGAAGGAGCATGACGCGGGGAAGGCGGGGGAAGGGGCGGGGGGAAAAGAAAAGAAGGAGGAGGAGCAGAAACTGCGGAATGAGACGGAAACGGGCAGGAGGCCGCCTTGGGAGATGTGCGCAAATCACTTGGAAACTCTGGGGGCCTCAAAAAGAAGCCCATATCTTCCTCCTCCACCACCTCCATCACTGTTCCCTATTAGTAAGCACCCCCTCACCCACCCGGCCAGCAGCCAACCCGGAACCATGCGCACACCATGAGGGCCCCGCCCACCATCCCTGTCAAAAAAGCAATACAAAATGCACTCTGCCTCCAAATTCGGAGCATGCGCAACGAACCCGATGCGGCCCCCCCCCACCATCCCTGTCAAAAAAACAATACACGGTACACTTTGGCGCAAAGTCTGGAGTCATGTTCGTGAGGCCCGCGGGCACTTTGTCTTGTTTTTCGACAGGGACGGCGGGGGTGTCAGCAGATTGCCTGCTGCGCGCAGGGCTACCATCCCTGACAAACACAGAATACAAAATGCACCTCGCGGCTAAATGTGGATAGTGCGCGGCCACCCCGCGATCATTGTCAAGTTGTTTTTGTCAGGGACAGCGGGGGTGGTGGCGTATGGCCTGCTGTGCGGAGGCCCACCAGACACAATGATGGGCATTTGTTTTCGATAGGGATGGTGGGGGCCGACATGTTTCCAGATGTGTGCTGTCACGTGCGCAGGCGCACCTGACACACTCTGCAAATACCCTGGACGTGGCGCACCTGGCGCGGCTGGAGGGAGCATCTGGCGCACTAGGCGTGCCTGGCACGTTCGGGCCCCAGGGGTGCCTGGCGCGCGTGGCGCGCCTGGCACGCGTGGCGCACCTCGCCCCAGCGTCGCAGTAGCTGTCCATCAAAAGACGACCGCGGAACATGCTGAGGTCCGGATGTTACTTATGTGTTGGGAGGGCGGGTGAGAGTGAGCTACACGGCTTGCTATCTGGAAGGTGTCTTGACCTGCACCTCCGCCTCTAACTCCACCTCTACCTCCTCCTCCTCCTCCTCCTCCTCCTCCTCCTCCTCCTCCTCCTCCTCCTCCTCATCCTCCTCATCCTCCTCATCCTCATCATCATCCTCATCATCCATCATCATCATCATCATCATCATCATCATCATCATCATCATCATCATCATCATCATCATCATCATCATCATCATCATCATCATCATCATCATCATCATCATCATCATCATCATCATCATCATCATCATCATCATCATCATCATCATCATCATCATCATCATCATCATCATCATCATCATCATGATCATGATCATCATCATCATCATCATCATCATCATCATCATCATCAGCATCATCATCATCATCATCATCATCAGCATCATAATCATCATCATCATCATCCGCATCATCATCATCATCATCATCATCATCATCATCATCATCAGCATCAGCATCAGCATCAGCATCAGCATCATCATCATCATCATCATCATTATCATCATCTCATCATCATCATCATCATCATCATCATCATCATCATCATCATCATCATCATCACCTCCTCCTCCTCCTCCTCCTCCTCCTCTCCTCCTCCTCCTCCTCCTCCTCCTCCTCCTCCTCTCCTCCCTCCTCCTCCTCCTCCTCCTCCTCCTCCTCCTCCTCCTCCTCCTCCTCCCCCTGCGTCTCCTCCTCCTCCCCCTCCTCCTCATTCTCCTCCTCCTCCTCCGCCACCTCCTCCTCCTCCTCCTCCAGTCCTTCTCCTTATAGGTGACTCCTCCCTGTCGCACCCCGAGGCAAGATTTTAGGGCGGGCCGGGCGTTTCGCCTGGGGCTTCCTGACCACTGATTACTCTGAAGATTAAAAAGTGAAAAAAAGCTTCACAGATGGAGCGCGGCTGGTTTTCAAAATGTGGCTCTCGCCTTAGCGCCGCGCACATTCGTCTTAAAATTGTAAGGGTTTGACGGATGCAGGGCGGGTCGTGTTCTACATGTGGCTTTCGCCTGAGCGTGGCGCACATTCCTTTAACAATTTGCAAGAGCTTCACGGATTGAGGGCGGGTGGTTTTCAGGATGTGGCTCTCGCCTTGGCGCCACGCATATTCGTTTCAAAAAAATGCAAGAGCTTCACGGATTGAGGGCGGGTGGTTTTCAACATGTGGCTCTCGCCTTAGCGCGTCGCACACTCGGTTCAAAAATCTGCAAGAGTTTCACGGATTGAGGGCGGCTCCTTTTCAAAATGTGGCTCTCACCTTAGCGCCGAGCACATTCGTTTTTTTGAGTTGACAGGAGCTTCACGGATTCAGGGCGGTTCCTTTTCAAAATGTGGCTCTTGCCTTAGCGCCGCGCACATTCGTTTTTCTAATAAAAACATGTCAGGGTTTCAAGGATTCCCGTGTGTCGAATTCCCACAAAAAGGCGTTTTGGCACGATTCTGAATGGTTAAGACGCAACAAGTTGATACGTGGCGTTGAAATCCCGAGAACAATGTTTTGGCACGCTTCAGGATCTTCAAACTGTTGCCTTCGAACGAGGCAGTTACCTCAATGGAAACGAACCGTTGCAGGGGCCTGTGAAGAGGGAGCTTAGAGGAAGGGTTCATTCCAACATCGTTGATGAATCTTGGATTTCCACTGGTCCTCCTCCTCCCCCTCCTCCTCCTCCCTGTCCTCCTCCTCCTCCTCCTCCTCCTCCTCCTCCAACTCCTCCTCCTCCTCCTCCATTCCGTTTCCTATAGGGCTATAGGGCTATTGGGCTACAGGGCTATTGAGCTATAGGGCTATAGGGTTATAGGGCTATAGGGCTATAGGGCTATTGGATTATAAGGCTGCAGGGCTATAGGGCTATGGCGTCACTAGAGCTATAGACGGTTCTAGGGCTATAGGGCTACAGGGCTATAGGGTTATAGGGCTATAAGGCTGTAAGGCTGCAGGGCTATAGTGCTATAGGGTTATAGGGCTAAAGGGCTATTAGGGCTATAGGGCTACAGGGTATAAGGCTATAGGGCTATAGGGCGATATAGCTATAACGCTACAGGGCTATAGGGCTACAGGGCTACCGGGCACCCGGGCACTCGGTCACCTGGACACCCGGGCACCCGGGCGCCCGGGCACGGCACCCGGGCTGGCCACCGAAATCGGCGACGCACCTCACCTAACAATATGAATCCGCTAGGACCCCTACAGAAGCCAGTTTTTAGGGCGGACCGGGCGTTTGGCCTGAGGTTTCCTCACCACTTATGACTCCGACGGTTGAAAATTGGCAACACTTTTCCACATAGAGGGCGGGTCGTTTTCTAAATGTAGTTTTCGCCTTAGCGCGGCGCACATTATTTTAACAATTTGCAAGAGCTTCACGGATTCAGTGCGGGATGTGGCTCTCGCCTTTGCGCGGCGCACGTTCGTTTTTAGAATTTGCATGAGCTTCACGGATTTAGGGCGGTGGTTTTCAAAATGTAGTTATCGCCTTAGCGCGACGCATATTATCTTGAAAGTGTGCAAGAGCTTCACGGATTGAGGGCGGCTCCTTTTCAAAATGTGGCTCTCGCCTCAGCCCCGCGCACATTCGCTTTTTGTTTGCAAGAGCTTCAGGGATTGAGGGCGGCTCCTTTTCAAAATGCGGTGTTCGCCTCAGCGCGGCGCACATTCGTTGAAAAAATTCGCAAGAGTTCACGGATTTCCATCATGAACGTGTCAGAAATCTGCGTTTTCAAAGGATTCAGGATTATGCGGGCGCAACAGTTATGTTGATTCCCTTGAATTCCCAGGAACGGTGTTTTGGCACGATTCAGGATTGTCATGAAGCAACTCTCAGGATGCCCCGTGGCGTTGGCATCCCGACAACACTTGTTTGGCATGCTTCAAGGTCTTGAACGGTTGTCTTCCAAAGAGGCAGTTCCTTCAATGGAAATGAACCGTTGTAAGGGCATATGAAGAGTGAGCCTGGAGGGAGGGTTTGTTCCAACATCGTTGATGACTCTTGGGTTTACACTGGTTTTCCTCCTCCTCCTCGTCCTCCTCCTCCTCCTCCTCCTCCTCCTCCTCCTCCTCCTCCTCCTCCTCCCCCTCCTCCATTCCTTTTCCTGTTAGGTAACTCCTCCCTGTCGCACCCCGAGGCAGGATTCTATGGCGGGCCGGGCGTTTCGCCTGAGACTTCCTCACCACGTATGACTTTGAAGCTTAAAAAATGGCAAACAATTTCACGGATTGAGGGCGGCTCATTTTCAAGATGTGGATCTCACCTTAGCGCGGCGCACATTCGCTTCCAAAAATTGCAAGAGCTTCACCGATTGAAGGCGGGTGGTTTCCAAAATGCGGCTCTCGCTTTAGCGCCACGCACATTCGTTTGAAAATTGTGCAAGAACTTCACGGATTGAGGGCGGGTCTTTTTCAAAATGCGGTTCTCGCCTTAGCGCCGCGCACATTCGTTATACAAGTTTGCAAAATGTTCACCGGTTTCCCTTGACAGACGTACCAGAAATTGTGTTTTGGACGGATTCACGATGAGGGCGCAAGAGTGACGACGATTCGCGGTGTTGAGGTCCCAGGAATGGCGTTCTGGCACGAGTCAGGATCGTCAATATGCAACAGTCAAGCTTATCCGTGGCGTTGAAATACCTAGAACAATGCTTCGGCATGCTTCAGGATATTCAAACGGTTGTCTTCCAACGAGGCAGGTCCTTCTGTGGAGACGAACCGTTGTAGGAGCCCGTGACAAGGAGCTTGGGGGAGGGCTTATTCCAACATTGTTGGTGACTCTTGGGTTTACACTGGTCCTCCTCCTCCTTCTGCCTCCTCCTGCTCCTCGTCCTCCTCCTCCTCCTCCTCCTCTTCCTCGTCCTCGTCCTTCTCGTCCATTCCTTTCCGTTATAAATAACTCCCCCCTGCCCCACAGGATGTTAGGGCGGGCCGGGCGTTTCGCTTGAGAAATCCTCACCACGCTGGGCCCTGAAGCTCGAAAAGTTGCAACAGCTTCACAGATGGAGGGTGGGTGGTCTTCAGAGTGTGGCTCTCGCTTTAACGCCGCGCACATTCGGTTAAAAAATTGCAAGGGTTTCACGGATTGAAGGCGGGTCGTTTTCAGGATGTGGCTCTCGCCCTAGCGCCACGCACATTCGTTTTTTCTAATAATTGCAAAAGCTTCACGGGTTGAGGGCGGGTCGTTTTCAAAATATGGCTCTCGCCGTAGCGCCTCGCACAGTCGTTTTCACAAAATACAAAAGTTTGACTGATTGAAGGCTGCTCCTGTTCAAAATCCAACTTTTTCTCCTAAGCGCCGCGCGCATTCGTTTAGAAAACTTGCAAGAGCTTCACGGGTTGAGCGCGGGTCGGTTTCAAAATATGGCTCTCGCCTTAACGCCGCGCACATTCATGTTCTAAATGTGCAAGACTTTCACGGATGGAGGGCGGCTCCGTTTCAAAATGTGGCCCTCGCCTTAGCGACGCGCATCTTCTTTTGTCAAATTTCTAAGGGCTTCACGGAATCCCATGATCAGCGTACCAGAAATGGCGTTTTGGAACGATTCCGGATTATGAGGGTGAAACAGTTACGTGGGCTCGCGGTGTTGAAGTCCCAGGAATGGCGTTCTGGCACGATTAAGGATCGTCAAGACGAACCATTCAGGTAGAATCGTGGCGATGGAATCCCAGGAACAATGTTTTCGCATGGTTCGGGATCATCAAACGGTTGTCTTCCAACGAGGCTGTTCCCTCAATGGAAATGAACCGCTGTAGAGGCCTATGAAGAGGAAGCTTGACGGGAGGGTGTATTCCAACATCGTTGATGCCTCGTGGGTTTACACTGATCCTCCTCCTCCTCCTACTCCTCCTCTTCCGCCTCCTCCTCCTCCCCCTCCTTTTGCTTTTCCTATTCCTCCTCCTCCTCCTCCTCCTCCTCCTCCTCCTCCTCCTCCTCCTGTCCTCCTCTCCTCCCTCCTCCTCCTCCTCCTCCTCCTCCTCCTCCCTCCTCCTCTCCTCCTCCTCCTCCTCCCTCCTCCTCCTCCTCCCCCTCCTCCTCCTCCTCCCCTCCTCCCCTCCTCCTCCTCCCCCTCCTCCTCCTCCTCCTCCCCAAGACGGCCGTAAGAGGGCGCGCCGCTGGCTCAGAGGCAGCGGCTGGCGTCGCTCTGGCAGACACCGAAAGCGCCGCGGCGGGCGGCGAGGCGACTCCAGCACACCTGGGCGGGTGGAGGCGGGGGGGAGGGGAAGGAGAGGGGGAGGAGGAGGAGGAGGAGGAGGAGGAGGAGGAGGAGGAGGAGGAGGAGGAGGAGGAGGAGGAGGAGGAGGAGAGGGAGGAGGAAAAGGAAGAGGAGGAGGAGGCAGAGGAGGAGGACGAAGAGGAAAAGGAGGGGGGAGGACCAGTGCAAACCCAAGACTCATCAACGATGTTATAATAAACCCTCACTCCAAGCACCCTCTCCCCTACAAAGATTCATATCCACTGAAGAAAGTGCCCTTTAGGAGGACAAGCGTTTGATGATCTGGAAACGTGAAAAAAAAACCATTCCGACGCAGCAAATCAACATGAATCGTCTCAAAGCACCACTCCTGAGAATTTAACACCGCGAATCACCGTAACGATTGCGCCGTGGCAATATTGAATCGTTTCAACACGTTAGTTCTGGCACGCTGACCCTGAAAACCGGCGCAACCCCTCTTGTAAATGTTTAAAAATCAATGCGCGCGGCAGTGGTAAGGCGAGAACCACAATTGGAAAAAGAGCCGCTATGAATCCGTGAAGTTCTTGCAACTTTACGAACGAATGCGCGCGGCGATAAGGCGAGGACCACATGTTGAAAATGGCCCGCCCCCCAACCGCAAAACTCTTGCAACATTTGTAAGACGAATGTGCGCGGCGCTAAGGCGAGGGTCACATGCTCAAAACCACCCACCCTCCACCACTGAAGCGCTTGGAGTTTGTTGCGACAAATGCGCGCGGCGCTAAAATGAGAGCCACATGATTCAAACCACCCGCCCCCCATCAAAGAAACGATTGCGAATGTTTAGAGCGAGTGCGCGGGGCGCAAAGGCGAAAACCACAGATTGAAAACCACCCGCCTTCCATCCGTAACAACTTGCAATATGTTAATGAGGACGAATGACCGCGGTGCTAAGGCGACAGCCACATTTTGAAAACCAGACCGCACTCCATCAAAAAAACGATTGCGCATGTTTAAAACGAATGCGCGCGACGCTAATGCGAGAGCCAGATTTTGAAAACCACCCGCAATACATGTGTTAAGCAATTGCCGATGGTGAATTTGAAAGTCGGAACTGGTCGGGACGTCTGAAGCGGTACGCCAGGGCCGCACTTTCGACCCGTCTCGAGGCGCGACAGAAAGAAACTGCTTATGAGGAGATGGAAGAGGAGGGCTGGAAGCTCGACAAGAAAAAGCATTGCGGCGATAAGGTGTAGATAACAAGCGTTTCACTCATCCATATATATACACATAAATACATACACACACATACATATAGACGCGTGTGCATACATACATACATACATACATACATACATACATGCATACATGCATACATGCATACATGCATACATGCATACATGCATACATGCATACATGCATACATGCATACATGCATACATGCATACATGCATGCATACATGCATACATATATACATACATACATACATACATACATACATACATACATACATACATACATGCATGCATGCATGCATGCATGCATACATACATACATACATAATTACAAACATACATACAAACATACAAACATACATACATATAAAAATGCATGCATGCATGCATGCATGCATGCATGCATGCATGCATACATACACATACATACATAAATGCATGCATGCATGCATACATACATACAGTACATTACATTACATTGCATTACATTACATTACATTACAATACATTTCATTACATTACATTGAATTACATTACATTATATTACAGTGAAGTTACAGTACAGTGAATTACATTACATTAAATTACATTACTTTAGATTACATTACATTTCCGTACATTTACATTTGAACTTACATTTACATTTACATTACATCACATTACATTACATTACATTACATTACACTACACTTCATTACACTATTTTACATTACATTTTACTACATTACATTCAATTACATTACATTACATTACATTACATTACATTACATTACATTACATTACATTACATTACATTACATTACATTACATTGCATTACATTGCATTGCATTGCATTACATTACATTACATTACATTACATTACATACATACACATATACAAACAACCCACCAAACAAACAAAACAAACCAAAGCAAACAAACAAACATATAAAATATAATATGAATAAATACCGCCCCCCCCAGCCCCAGGTACCACACCTCCCTGGAACATCTCGGGGACATTCCCGGTACGTCTCCCCCGGCCTGTCCTGGGAGCCTCCACAGCGCCCCAGGAGAGCCCAGGCCCAAGATGGGCCCAAGAGCGGGAGCAGGAGATTTCCAGAGACCTCCACGAAGCCTCCGGGACCCCCCAGAAGCCCCCAACACCCCCCCGACCCCTGAGAGGCCCCAAAAAAACACCGACAGGGCTCCAAGAGCAACCCAAGAGAGCTACGAGAGCCGTCCCGAGAGAGCCAAAAGAGGGTACAATCGTTGATTTCCAACGGTTTTTCTACTGTTATTCGCCTTCTCACGTGTTCTTGCTTCCAACCTTCGAAGATCGAGGATGCATTATTTTACACACTTAGATATACACACATACATATAGATACACACATATCTATACATACATACATACATACATACATACATACATACATACATACATACATACATACATACATACATACATAGATGCATACATACATAAATACATACATACATAAGTACATACATACATACATACATACATACGTATACATATATAAATACATATATACATACATACATACATACATACATACATACATACATACATACATACATACATATATACATACATACATACATACATGCATACATACATGCATACATACATACATGCATACATACATGCATACATGCATACATGCATACATGCATACATGCATACATGCATACATGCATACATACATACATACATACATACATACATACACACACACATACATACATACATACATACATACATACATACATACATACATACAGACATGCATGCATGCATGCATGCATACATACATACATGTTCACATACATATATACATGCATACATACATACATACATACATACATACATACATAAATACATGTACACACCCATAAATACATAAATACATACATACATACATACATGCATACATGCATACATACATACATACATACAAGTATGCATGTGCACATACATATACACATACGAATACAAATACGCATACAAATACACATGCATACCCATTCACATATATATAGATGTGTATACATACATATACATGTACATATGCATATACATATACATATACAAAGTTATATATAGACGTATACATATACATGTACATATACAAATACGTATACACATATACATACACATACACGTTGATATTTCTATATATATACATATATATATGCATATACAATTACATAAACACATATATATACATGTATACAACTATACATATACATGTGCATATACATATACATGAATATATATACACACATGCATACATACATAAACATATGAGAGAGCGTGGTCCACCGCCGCTTTACTCTGGAATATTCCCCCCCCTCTTCCTCTGGAACCCGGGGGTCCCCCCCTCCGAAAATCCCCCCCACACCCCGTGCTGGAACCCCTCCCCCTTCCCTGGCAA